GGAGGATTCCCCCATTCTTACCCTCTCGACGGGTCTGGGTTGGGATAAGGATAGAAAAAAGATAAGATATAACCTTGAGCTTATAAAATTATATTAACTACCCTGTGGTTTTATTCACAACTTCTAAATAAGTAACGTAACTCCACTTCTTATTTTTTCGATAGGAATTGAAATAAATTCTGCTATAAAAAATTTAGTTATCGAAAATTATCAAATTACCGAAATTGATCGAGTCATCGAAGTTATAGATATCGAAATTTATCGAGTTTTCCATATTTATTGAGTTATAACAACGTGTAACATTGGCCAATGTTAATNCCGATATTGTTATCGATAAAATAATCGATATTGTTATCGATCACGTTATAAATATTGTTATCGATGTAATAATCGATATTATTATCGATAATGTTATTGATATTTTTATCGATATATTTAACGATAAATAAATCGATTTTGGAATCGTTATATTTTGCGATATATTCATTGATATTTTTATTGGTATATTTATCGACAAAGTTATCGACAGCGTTATCGATTTAATATTCGACACATGACATGTGATCACCTTATATGATAGCGCATCACATTATATCACATGATATGATATTGCATCACATGACATAACTTCACATAATATGATATCACATAATACGATATCACATGGCATGACATCACATGATATGACATCATATTATATGTCATCATACGGTATGACATGACTTCACATGATATAACATGACATCACATGATTTGACATCAAATGAAATCGCATTACATGGAAAAATATTTGTTTCTGTATTGATTAACGTGGTTATTGAAAGCATGCGCATTGTTTTCTTTCAAAATTAAATTTTAAAATACTAATAACAAGCTATGGCTCTGATATTTCAGGCCCCTTAGAACGCCCGGACCCGAGGAGGATTCCCCCATTCTTACCCTCTCGACGGGTCTGGGTTGGGATAAGGATAGAAAAAAGATAAGATATAACCTTGAGCTTATAAAATTATATTAACTACCCTGTGGTTTTATTCACAACTTCTAAATAAGTAACGTAACTCCACTTCTTATTTTTTCGATAGGAATTGAAATAAATTCTGCTATAAAAAATTTAGTCATCGAAAATTATCAAATTACCGAAATTGATCGAGTCATCGAAGTTATAGATATCGAAATTTATCGAGTTTTCCATATTTATTGAGTTATAACAACGTGTAACATTGGCCAATGTTAACTGAGTTGTCGAAATTTATAGACACAGAAAATTAGTTGTCGAAATTTGCGGATAGATATCGAGCTATAAAAAACGTACGGGTTAACGAAATTTGTCAAGTTAATGAAATTTATCAAGTTGTCAATATTTATTGTTGCGTTCAGGGACTTTAGTATTTTTGAAATTCATTGAATTACCGATATGTATCAAATTATCGAAATTTATCGACAAACTGGAATTTATCTGTTATATTCCAAGTCCTGCCTACGACCTTCAAAGATTTAAAAAATTCAAGTTAAGGTTTAGTTCGAAAGCAGGAGAGTTTTCGGCAAGTAATTTTGCACATCATAANTGTTAAGGTTTAGTTCGAAAGCAGGAGATTTTTCGGCAAGTAATTTTGCACATTATAAGTTAAACGACGGGTTAAGTTAGAAAACCTCTCCAAGGGTGTTAAAAAACTAGAAGTACGGTCGAATTTCGACAGTGGCTGGCACTCTAGTTACCATTATCACTTACCTATTCATACCTGCCAACCCGATAGGTAAGCCAGGAAAAAATAGACAGCGCAAAATTTTCAAATTCTATAGGCTTAATACTTTCGATTGGTATATAATTTGTTCATTAAACAAATGAGTGCAAAATTTTAATTAAAAATATTTAATTAAAAATATCCTANACCATTATTACTTACCTATTCATACCTGCCAACCCGATAGGTAAGCCAGGAAAAAATAGACAGCGCAAAATTTTCAAATTCTATAGGCTTAATACTTTCGATTGGTATATAATTTGTTCATTAAACAAATGAGTGCAAAATTTTAATTAAAAATATTTAATTAAAAATATCCTAGCCAGGATTTTTTCAGCCAGTCCACTCGCGAAATATTTACTAACATGTTGAATTTCATAAAAAATAGATTACATTCATTAACAGGCCTATTCTGCGTTGGTAACAAAAATTTTGTTACCGGTTAGTAAAGTTACTGTCAATTTTTAAACCCTTTTCGTATTGTCCACACTCTTGTAACCAGTAAATTTTCCCCCTTATTCTAGAACCCGAATTTTCGTAATTCCACATGCGGTAACCCTTGCGGAAACATGTGCAGCATTGCCAGCTATGAGTTGTTTTTCGAAGATAGCTGAATGAAAGAAAACGAAGTGGAAATGAATTAAAAGAGCACTCATCATGTGCTTGTTTATAGTAAAATTTATTGATTTTCAATATTTTGAGGAAAATTATGGATTCTGATGCATTTGCCGTTATAGCAGCGGAGTAAGAGCACGCTATGGCAATGTACTCACAAAGGTATGCGGAGCTGCCGGGCATAGTAACCATGGGCGCATCTATGTCAGCTTCTGTTGAACCATAAGCCAGAACTCCTCCTATGCCTGAAGATCTGGGTCTTAATCCAGTTAATGCAATAATAGCTTCTTCTAAGCCATTGAAAACATGCACCTGTTGCGCTTGCTTCTGCCTTCGGCCGCGCTTAGGGATTATAACCCTTACTAAGTAGAATTCTCCTTTCTGTGTTGCGGGGAAGAGGGGCTCCCGCATGTCAAAATTATACAACATTTCTTGTGCATATCACTCCGGCTACGCCGTCCACAGAATTTTTGCGCAGAACCCACGTCGAAATTTGCAAAAAAGTGCATAGTGCAAACCGAGTTTATTAATAAGCTAGTGGTAGAAAATTTGAAATATTTACCTTAAAAAATGTGAATCCTGTAGTTACACGTGTATGATAAAGTTTTTGGGTTTGGGCTATGCGTTTGGACACAACAATAGAAAATCGTTGTACAAATAACTAAGCCGGACCCAGTCTCTCGATAAGGGGCAACAAAGATTCTTTTTTGCTCGTTTATATGAAGCAGTGGATATAAACATACGTATATGCGAAAGGCAAATTTATCTGTTTAAATGAACACCGCCAATATTTCTTGCAAACACATATTGATTTACATCTTTTATTTCGCCTCCTACACAGAATTGTTTTCGTACAAAATTATGCAAAAAAACTTACTCGTTCGTTTTTAGGCATGTCATTGTTACGAATTTCGAAAGTTCGAAAATATGATTCGGATTCCAGCATACTATTTCTACGATTCGTAGCAAAATCCGAATACNAGAAAATCGTTGTACAAATAACTAAGCCGGACCCAGTCTCTCGATAAGGGGCAACAAAGATTCTTTTTTGCTCGTTTATATGAAGCAGNATCCTGTAGTTACACGTGTATGATAAAGTTTTTGGGTTTGGGCTATGCGTTTGGACACAACAATAGAAAATCGTTGTACAAATAACTAAGCCGGACCCAGTCTCTCGATAAGGGGCAACAAAGATTCTTTTTTGCTCGTTTATATGAAGCAGTGGATATAAACATACGTATATGCGAAAGGCAAATTTATCTGTTTAAATGAACACCGCCAATATTTCTTGCAAACACATATTGATTTACATCTTTTATTTCGCCTCCGACACAGAATTGTTTTCGTACAAAATTATGCAAAAAAACTTACTCGTTCGTTTTTAGGCATGTCATTGTTACGAATTTCGAAAGTTCGAAAATATGATTCGGATTCCAGCATACTATTTCTACGATTCGTAGCAAAATCCGAATACGAAAGAGTTGCAGAATAGGGGTGTTTGTTACCATCTCATGAGCAGGTAACAAAATATTGCCCCGTGAAATATGCAACACCAGAATTTCAACAAAACTCCATAGCTGAATTGCTGAATAAATTAAACGTTACCAAGGTAAATAGGACTGCGGTTGCAAGAAGTGGTGACAATTGTTCGTAACAAAATTAGCTTGTTACAAAATGTTCGGTTACAAGCAGAATAGGTCTGTAAACAGATGGGTGAAGGTCGTGCCTAATTCGGAACTTAGTTTAAAACTTATGATTGTCTATTTAAATTTAAAAATTTCTCGTAACTACAAATATGAGTGTATAAGATATTTGCAAATCTCTGCAATTGTACTTATATCCATTTTCTGAATGCATTCACCAGTTTGAAAAGAAATTTTGACGAGTTGTTACGAGTGACGCTGAAGTCAGGTTGTTTTTAAAAATCTGTATTTATAGTCCGATTTAGAATGTACATACATACATTGTGGAGGTGATTAGATATCGATGCTTTACAAAGTAAAGATATCTTTTGACTGAGCTAAAATTAACATTATTATGGTAGAAAAGTCGTTCAATCCCTTCTGCAATGTTTGGGTCAAAATGACCCAATTTCCGCAAACAATTCTTTACTTACAGGGTTAGTCAATTTTAAATAATCTGCGGCGTTGTCTATGCGTTAAAAGTATAATCTGCTATGGTTTTGCAAAAAATAAAATTATTATTAAGAGTTTAAGGGCAACTTTGAACCGCTCAGAATGCTGTTAGAAAGTTCTTAACGGAAAAAGGAATTAAAAAAAAAAAATTTGACTTTAAATCAAAGTAATTTGGATAATTGAGGGAAACTTGATTCGAATTGAACATTTGAAAGGATGATTACATACATATGTATGTTGACCGCAGCTGAGTGTCCAGAGAAGCTTGCTACTGTTTTTAAGGCTCTAGGAGATCCTAGGCTCAATTCCCGACTGAAGTAGCCCATTGTTGAACCTATTATTGTTTTTGATATTTTTTTCGAACTGCATATCAAAGCGCATTTATGCAGTGCAAAACGAAAGTGTGCTCAGGTAAAACTATATTTTTTAAGCGATTTTGTTCGAAAAAACACGATATGGTTTATTTTTTGTGCAGTAATAATTTTAAACAGAATAAGTGCATTGTATTTATACATATGTGCGTATACTGTACCTACTGTGTGAAATAAAAAATGTGCTTGCATATTTGTATCATCATTGCACTGTACCTTTTATATTAAATCCATTTTCGGAGTATACCGTAATCTGAAAAATAAATTAAAACAATTTAATTATTTAAATGAGATGTATAATTTTATAGGCGCATTCGCTTTTTATTTTATATTTATACATGCAATAATAAGTGATTATAAATATATGCATATCTCGAATCTTATATGCAAAGTACACTATGACTTCCATTTGGACAAGGCTCAATTAAAATTCATCAAAGGGCAGCAATGACAAATCAAGTGAAAAGTAAATTTACGCCAAGTGACAAGTGCGTCAGTCAGATGCACCTCCCTAAATTTTGTATTCGTTGCAAGTAAGGTTAAGTTTTCGTATGCAAGTTACAAGCAATGCTAATGGGTGGCAACAATGGAGATTTTATTGAATTATGCGACGAATTTTTTGTTCTTACTCAAGAAAATGCTCAAGAGTAGCCGAAGCCACTATGTACATTTCAAACAAAGGTACCCACATTCGATTCTCCTATGTTTCTGTTGTTATCAAAACTTTGTCATTTAATTTGGACACAGATTCAGCAAATTATCAAAAAGACAAATAAGTGCATTTGTAATAGGTATACTCGACGACTTGTGCTCGCAGTGTTCATGTTATGGCACTTGTGCGCTTGAAAATTATAATGACAATTTCTACTGCTGGTGTACTGCAGAACGACGACCATCATGGTTTTATTAAAATTTATATACCATAAATTTTGGCATTCTCAATTAACTGGTAGACGTCTTGGCAGACAGTCTGACGGTTGACAGGCAATCTAGTGAATTATTTAATGCCAGGACACATCGTCATGTTAAACAATTGAAAACGCATGTGCCGTGTACTTTGTAACCATGGACTTACGTGAGCATAAATATTTCTGGGCGAAGCCATTAACGCGTTTCACTGTATATAAAAATGTCAACAATCAATTTGTAATTTGAAAAGTTCAATAAATTGCGCTACATTACGTGTCATTGGAACCAAAATGTTGACAATTTTCTTATCTGATTTATTTCATCCATTGCAATTTATGTTATGTTATATACATGTGCTATTGTTTGTTTTATGTTCTATACAAGTACTTACATTTCAGTTTACTCACAATCAAGATCAACTATTTTTCACGAATATCAAAAGACCCTCCATTGTATAACCCCACACTCAAATAGGTATTTGCGCTTAAAACTATTGAAATACTAGAACGTTTGAGATTTTCTACAAGATTACAATATCCAGCATTTAGAAACCTGACTGGATAAAAGTTGCTTATTTTAGGCCAGTGTATACAAAGCTTGGGTTCTATGTATGATAATTCATTGCACAATCCTGTTTGCTTTTTCGGACCTCCATCTTTATATTTATATAGCAAGCACTTTTACTTTTGTTTTTAGTAAAACTGTCACCAAACCATTCCGCAACATTAAAGAAAGTTATGTTGCGATTTCAAATCTCAAACCATGCGATTTAACGCTAAAAAAACGTAAATTTTTAAATTGAACGCACAAAAATAAATTATACATATACCGAATTGTTTAAAATCCATTGACGAAGTATTAAATAATTTTGTGACTCATTTTTCCCAAATGCTTAAAGAGATGTAAGTAAAAAAAGATAATTTTTAAAAGCTCAATGTTAACGATACTTCTAAATACTAAAGCTCTTTATTATAGTTAATTTTAAGGAAGCAAAGCATAACTTTGACTTCAAACTTAGAAACAAAAATAAAAATTTACCTCCGCCAAAAAATTTTACGTAAGTGGTTGCATGGGGTCAGGACTTTAGAGAGTAGATGTATACATCGGCGTAGCCAGAATGAAATTTAGGGGGGGGGGGGCTTCGACCCTATTAAGCTGGCATTTCAGGGTATTATTTTATATATATACAAGGAAAATTTGAAAGTTAGGGGGGGCTCGAGCACCCCCCTGCCCCTACCTGGCTACGCTCATGGATGTATACACGCCTGTGTTCTGGAGGTGACCAATTTACGTACCTCGCAGGAAGTTAGGAAGCTAGAAAGAGCGCGAGCGCACTCGAAGACATTTTTCAACTTGAAATGGCCCTGAACCCAGGTGTAGTAAAAAAGGAGATTTCTAGCTTTATTTTCTATATTTTCTCAACATTCGGCTCTTCTTCTTCTTCTTTATTGGCGCTGTAACCGCCTAAGCGATTTTGNAAATTTACGTACCTCGCAGGAAGTTAGGAAGCTAGAAAGAGCGCGAGCGCACTCGAAGACATTTTTCTACTTGAAATGGCCCTGAACCCAGGTGTAGTAAAAAAGGAGATTTCTAGCTTTATTTTCTATATTTTCTCAACATTCGGCTCTTCTTCTTCTTCTTTATTGGCGCTGTAACCGCCTAAGCGATTTTGGCCAAGTCCAAAACAGCACGCCAATCATTTCTTTTCTGTGCTAACTGACGCCAATAGGAAATGCCAAGTGAAGCCAAGTCTTTCTCCACCTGGTCTTTCCAACGCAGGGGAGGCCTTCCTCTTCCTCTGTTATCAGCATCGCAGCTCGCGTTGAATACTTTCAGATCAGAAGCGTTTCTGTCCATTCGAATGACANGTCCTCTTCCTCTGTTACCAGCATCGCAGCTCGCGTTGAATACTTTCAGATCAGAAGCGTTTCTGTCCATTCGAATGACATGACTGAGCCAGCGGAGCCGCTGAATCTTCATTCGCTGCACTATGTCTATATCGTTGTAATGCTCATACAGCTCATCGTATTCGCCATCGCCAACGCGTAAAGATCCGTAAATCTTTCGCAGAATCTTTCTCTCGAAAACTCCAAGAGCCGCTTCATCAGATGTTTTCATTGTCCATGCCTCCGAAAGATCCCTTTCTTGCCCACCTTGGCAATAAAATCGCCGGGCACGATTTTAGCATCGTCTCACGGGCAGCGCCCATATATACGCTCTAAGCGCTCATANAAGATCCCTTTCTTGCCCACCTTGGCATTAAAATCGCCGGGCACGATTTTAGCATCGTCTCACGGGCAGCGCCCATATATACGCTCTAAGCGCTCATAGAAGAGATCCTTGGACGCCTCGTCCTTCTCTTCCGTCGGGGCATGGGCGCAGATGAGCGAGATGTTGAAGAGTCTCGATTTGATGCGGATTGTGGCTAGACGTTCGTCCACCGGGGTGAACGCCAGTACTCGGCTCCTTTACGTGGCAACTGTAGTAGGTGACGCAAGGCTTCACACTTACTTTTCCTTGCCCCGTCCATCGCATTTCTTGGNGTGTCGCAAGGCTTCACACTTACTTTTCCTTGCCCCGTCCATCGCATTTCTTGGATGGCGGTGATGTCAGCCTTTGTCTTCCCGAGGACATCAACCAGCCGGGCAGAGGCACCTTCCCCATTAAGGGTCCGGATATTCCAGGTGCATACCCTTAAATCATAGTCCTTTATACGTTTGCCGTGGTCGTCATCAAAAAAAGGGGGTCTCATCCCTGGCTGTTTGTTCTTTTTCATTGGGCGTGGTTTTAACGTGGCGGGACCCAAACCCAGCGCAGACGAAGTTTTACGCCTTCTCACTTTAGCTCGCTCCCAAACGGGTGTTTGGTTGCTACCCAGAGGATACGTGGATATAAATATCCGGACGTTGTGAGCTGCGATTTGAAGCGTACGCACAAGAATCGCTTCTGGCCACTCCCTGGTGAATGGCAGTCAAAATTTCACCACTTCTGCGCACGCAATCGGCTATCATATTGAAAATTTTCAAGCAAATTTTCAAACAAAATTGGTCAAATTTTTCTTCTCGCTCTTATTACTACACCTGGTATAATTTCACCATGTGATTTTATACTGTTTTTGGCTTCTACTGTCAAATAAAAAAAATTTTGGTTCGGGCATTTGTGCATTAAGGTGACTATATGTATATAACAAGTATCCTATCATTCACTGAAAAGTCCATAATTTCATTGCAGGAAATATCTATTTCAGCCAGGCAAAATTCACATGTGCATCACGCAACATAAATCTTGCAACAATGTATCGATCACTGTCTGGGCAGTTTTCTTTCACTTTTTGTTTCTAATTGTGCACGTTTGTGTGAGTTCACACGATCGAAAGCAGGTATTCTTACATTCACATCAGTGTTGCCACAAAAAAATTACCAAATTCCTCAAAAACAAATGAAAAATTCCTCAAAATCCGAACAAATTACTCAAAATTTTTTTTACAGATATTAGTATTGTGTACTGCACACTATTTACAGGTTATTAGTATAAAAATTAATTACGTTCTCCAATTCAATTGGTACATTTGTTCTTGCGATTCAAAAAACGTATCACCGTTGATTTTATGCCTTGGTTTGTATATAATATTGCTGCAACTATAGTAGTGCTCAATATGGTCCTCAAGTCAGTTCTACACATTTTTTAACTACTAAATCTACGTTCCACTGAAGCATTAGAAAAGGGCTACACTCTGAAAAAATTTTGTTTAAATTTGCGCATATTAAGGTAGCTAACCAGTTTCCTCTCTTAGGGAATGCAAATATACACACCGTGTTAATTAAATTAAACACTGCTTGCTTACTTTTACTTATCATATGTGTGGCGTAGAACAAATTTCAATATTTTTTTGAGTTCTAAACATTTATTTTTCACAATTTCACAGTTTACATATAAAATGTTTAAAATTTCCTCTAAAAACTTTTGGTTTAAATTTACGCATATAAAGAGAGGTAACCAGTTTCCTCTCCTAGTGTGTGCAAAATTAAATACTGCCTGTTTACTTTTACATACCAATTTTGTCACGTAGAATAAAACTACACACAAAGTGTTTACAGTTGTGTAAATATGAGCACTTGGCTTAGGGCACACAAGGGGTGGGTGTTGGGGTTCAAATGAGAAACCAGAAATCTACGAAAATGAACATAAAAGTGTAAAAATTTCATGGTACAATTTAATTTATTTATATTAAAATTCTTATGTAAAATTTTGTATTACTTTTGAAAATTGAGTGCATCTTGTGTTTATAGAACTTTTTATTAAACAAGTTATTTTTAAGCAAAAAGCAAAACCGACTTCAATTCTCATATACAAATTTAGGAGTACCGCTAATTTTTTCATGATTTATTGATCGGATCTAAACCAAATTACGGGACGACTCTTAAGGTACCATCTTTCCGGTAAAAAAAAGAATTATTGGAATCGGTTCACGCGGTCCAAGGTTATGCGGTGGCATATACAAAAGAAGAAAAAATACTCCCAAGAATTGATAACCTCCCCTATTTTGAAGCCGGTTGAAAATGTTTGAGTTCTTTTTAAATTTTATGTAAATAAAATGCAATATATGAAACTTTAAAAAGTTTATTTATTTATTACATACTGTACATAAAACTTGCATAAATATATTCTAAAGAGCGTATTATCTGAAGCGAGTTTTCAGTATTTGCTGATGATATATATTTAGAAGTATAAACCCCTCCCCCCAAAAAAATATACCTGGGTGCGCCCTAGCACTTAGTATTTATTATTTGTAAAAAATATATTTTTACTTTCACAATGTTTGTAATTTTAACCTTTCATGTGTATTTTTATGTTTATATTTTAAGCAACCGAAGTTCAAAATCAAATTTTGAACATCTTGTGCGTATACTTGAACAGATTCTGGTTGAAAAATAAACACTTTTCAGTAGTAGTTTTACATGCACTTTTTAGAGTGTATATTAGCAACGCAGATAAATTTTTTTTTTAATTGGGAAACTTATATGAACCTGAGGAGTCTTTTTATTCAAAAAATTATTTCCTATAATTTTCTGGATCTAATGAAGAATCAATATGAATATCCTTATGATCGAATAATGCGTGTTCTCTCCGTTCGTTACCGAGATTTTGCAAGTTTAAAATACATAAGTTGGAAATATAACGATGGAATGAAAAAAATTATCGATAACATTTTGAATATTTACCAGCAAATGCAGATGTGCTTAAGAGCGAAAAACACCACACAAGGGGCTTGAAAACGCAAGCGAAATATCTCTTTCCTTCAAGATATTTATGTTGTGTATGGGGGTGTTTGATCATTTGACAAGCCGTTTGAGGGAAATGTGAACACAAACCAAAATTTTTTGATTTTCTGGCCGCCATTTTGAGGTTGGATCAAACCACTTACGTTGTGAATGATAAAATCGCCGCATTCGCAACGGAATTTTTACCGAATGAGGACGCAGGAGAGGAAAATCGAATTTTACATTGTGAAAACTAAAATTCTTTGCTTGAATGAGTCATGTTTGCATGGTGTATGGCGAAATGGGAAAAGTAGGTTTGAAGAATGTTTGACAAGTCGCTCTTTATAAAACTTCGGAAAGCCTTTTGTTCAAAAATTTGCAGAGCGATTTAACAATTCGCTTGTGTAAAACATGGTTGCTTTTGTTATCTGCAAATATATCTAGAGAAAATTCCTCAAAATAAAAATCCTCAAAAAATACTCAAGCGCACCCGAAATTCCTCACGTTTTGAGGAATTACTCACAAAGTGGCAACACTGATTGACATACATATGTACATACCAACATATGTATGTATGTAGTTTGTATGCATCTCGTGGCCATTAACTTATGTTTTTAATTTTTTACTGTTATTTGTTATGGCCTCGCTTCTTCAATTTTATGTGTACATATATGTATGTCCATATGTATGTTTACCCATTTAGAAGAAAGCGAGAGTGACTTCTTGGAGAAGAGTTCCATCTCAGCGCACCACATTAGGAACTAACATTTTCTCGCCTCATAAATCACTAAATGGTTTTATGTGCATTTCATATATATTTTAAACAGATTGCAATATATTATTATGTGCCTAAGATTCTACATATGTACATACATATGTTTCTCAACGAATACTGCAACACAACATAAAGAAGTGCGCATATCAAACTAGAACCAGCTGAGTGTTTAACGGTTTCAGCTGTGTGGTTTATTGGTTAACCTTGAATTAAAATCTAAATTCCAAAAGGGTTCTTAAACAATGAAATTTTCTTTGAAGGTCACACCATAATGCCATGCAAATATATGCAAATTTCATACTTTTCTAATGCTCAGTGAAAGTATAACACTATGCGACAAAACCAAACTATTTGGCTCGGTATTGAGTAAAACCAAATGCAAGTGATAGTGTTAGATGTCACTAATACTACGGCAATGGCTTTTTTCGAGTTTACCTCAAATATGGAAGACATCCTTGATTGAATCCTTGAACACAATTTATTATTTAATTAGGTTAAGCTCTTGAAAAATATTCTTAGGAAATACCTACTTATATAAGGGTTCTTTGTTTAGAGGAATTCATTTTATAATTAGCTTTGTGCTTTATTTAAAAAAATCGGTCGCTATATGATTTAGAACACCACAGTTAATATTTTGAGCAGAAATTATTTAACTTATTGCATTTTAATTTATTCTTTTGTCTACTTTTTCTTCAAACTTTCCTTCTTTTTTGAATGTTATTATGATTTACAAAATCATGGTCATGTGAAAAATTTACAAAGTTATTGCTTGCGTTTACGTCATCAGCTGTAGCCATTATCCACCAACAAATATCCAAAAATAATGTTGATATTTTCTTTCACAATCAACCATTTTTTAATGATATCATATATTTTTATATATTTATTATATTATCATATATTAAATAAGGTGTGATTGACAACTAAACCCTACTTAAATAATAATCTTTCAAACTTTCCTTCTTTTTTGCATTTTATTATGATTTACAAAATCATGGTCATGTGAAAAATTTACAAAGTTATTGCTTGCGTTTACGTCATCAGCTGTAGCCATTATCCACCAACAAATATCCAAAAATAATGTTGATATTTTCTTTCACAATCAACCATTTTTTAATTAAAACTAGCCGGCCTCGTATGCGCGTGGCGAAGCTTGAATGTGCATATATTAAATAAGGTGTGATTGACAACTAAACCCTACTTAAATAATAATCTTTCAAACTTTCCTTCTTTTTTGCATTTTATTATGATTTACAAAATCATGGTCATGTGAAAAATTTACAAAGTTATTGCTTGCGTTTACGTCATCAGCTGTAGCCATTATCCACCAACAAATATCCAAAAATAATGTTGATATTTTCTTTCACAATCAACCATTTTTTAATGAAAACTAGCCGGCCTCGTATGCGCGTGGCGAAGCTTGAATGTGCATATATTAAATAAGGTGTGATTGACAACTAAACCCTACTTAAATAATAATCCAGAACTGCGCATGTGGAGGCCAAGCCCTTTAATTTCTTGTAATCTAACGAACAGCCCACATTTTTTTTTAATTTTTCGGACAGGTTGCAACTAGGGTTGCCAACCGTACTATAATATATAGTATTGTACTATTTTTTAGGTCTGTGTACTATATACTGTTGGAAAAATATATAGTATGCAAAAATACTATATTTCTTCAGTTATAAATATAAATATATTTCAGTAATTTGCTAGAAAGGAGTGTTTTCAAATGGATAACATTTATACTGAAATAACAATATTAAAAAAAAAATACTTTAAAACAAAGGGTCCACAGATCAAAAATGGCAAAACATTTTTAAAAATACTTAGAAAGATTTACCTAATTTACTTAAAATTATTTCGCTTATGCTCTCTATTCCTGCAACTTCGGCATTTACAGAAAGAGTTTTTTATATTAAGATTGTGAAATGGTGAGATGAGAGAAATAAAGCGACATCTCACCAATAAAAAATGAACTTTTGATTTATATTAATTTAAGTATTAATTGCGATAAAAGGTATGAAGCTTTCAAAGAAATATATCTTTTATAGAGGAAATGCATAAGAAAGAAAAAAGATGTACACTTAAAAAGCATTTTTACTTTTTCGTTACAATATATGTATACTTGAAGTGCACTATATTTCTTCAAATTTTTTTGAAAAAGTTCTATAAAGTTCTTAGAAAATGTTGGCAACCCTAGTTGCAACCCCCTTCGAAAAATAAAACCTTACTGCAAATCTGAAGGCCAAGTCTGTTCATTTGACACCCCATTTTTTTTAATTGAATGAGCTGTGCAAATCTAAAGTCATTAACAAAAAATGTCCTCGCGTATTATACATACATAATTTTTAAATATGTGGCAACCCCACTGAAACAAAAAATAAAAACTTATTTCACATGCAGAGACCATATCTTTCACTTGGTACTCAGTTTTTAGTCCAACAAACGATGAAGATCTTATAATTTTTAAAAAGCGGCAACCCTACTCAAAAAGTAATACATTATTGAACATCTAAACGCCGAGCAATTTTATTTGACACCTCATTTCTTGTAATCCAACGAACAGTGCGGAGCTTATAATATTTTAGACAGCTGGCAACCCTATAGGAATTTAAAGTACTAAATATGTACGCAAACGTCAAGCTGTGAAGTTCTACTTATTTTTTGCCTTGATTGTTCTTTGTATTTTGCAAAGTTTATTGTGCTAATTTTGAGTAAAAGTTGCTATAAAAAGTGCCTACGAGCATCTTAGTGTGATAATAACCGAAGCTAAGTGAAAGTTTTGTGATTTTTGTGGTTTTTATTAAATTTAATTAAATTTCACTAGCTTACATCTAATCTTGCCGAGTCATTTGTTGTTATCATTGTTGTTGTTATTCCTTTGTAGTTAACTGAGATCGTTTCTATTTTTGCACATTTCTTTTTGCTCTTTTTGTTTACTTCGTTTAGTATTTCTTGTCACAGCTGTTTGCGCTGCGTTTATTA